AAATAAGAAAAAATTTTACCGGAAAAATTATTGTAGAATTTTTTTCACCAGCAATTGAATTTAATGTTTGTAAATAACGTAATTGTAATGCAGCCGGACTATCCATCATAATATCGGCTGCTTGTTTTAATGATTTTGATGCACGTTGTTCACCTTCAGCAGCAATAACTTTAGCACGTGCTTCACGTGCTGCTTCAGCTTCAGCTGCCATTGCACGTTGTAATTGTACTGGTAACCGGACATCTTTACTGTTATTTTCAACCACAAAAAAAAACGATTATTGATGGTGAGCGGAAGATAAACGGTTTCAAAAACTTACATTTCAACACGTTCAACTTTAACACCCCATGGATCGGTTGCTTCATCCAATGAACTTTNGACATAACTTCAGCTGCTTGTCTTAATGCTTGTGATGCACGTTGTTCACCTTCAGCAGCAATAACTTTGGCACGTGCTTCACGTGCTGCTTCAGCTTCAGCTGCCATTGCACGTTGTAATTGTACTGGTAACCGGACATCTTTACTGTTATTTTCAACCACAAAAAAAAACGATTATTGATGGTGAGCGGAAGATAAACGGTTTCAAAAACTTACATTTCAACACGTTCAACTTTAACACCCCATGGATCGGTTGCTTCATCCAATGAACTTTGCATAACATGCGATATTGATTCACGTTCGCTTAGAATTTGCGATAGATCTTTAGTACCAAGAACATTTCTCAATGTTGTAGCAGCCAACAAACGAGTTGATCGGCCATAATCTTCAACATTCGAAACGGCAACTGTTGCATTACTAATACGAAAATAAACAACAGCATCAACGGAAACTGTTACCGAATCACGTGATAAAATCTATTCGTATGATTTGAATGGATTGAAAAAAGTACGGTTATTCTTCACCAACTTTGATCATCATTGAAACTTACTTCTTGTGGTGGTACATCAAACGATACTGTACGAAGATCAACTTTACAATAAGAATCAATACAAGGAATGATAAAAAATATACCGGGTCCTTTTGCACCACCACGTACTAAACGTCCTAAACGAAATATAACAGCACGTTCATATTCTTGTACAACTTTTATGCATAAAAATAATGAAAATGGTAATGTACAAACAATCAATATTATTGATATGATTGTTAATGCAAATGCACAAAAACCAGAACTTTCGCTAACATTTGCTAAATACAGGGGAAAAAAGTACGGGGAAAGAGAAAAAAAAGATACAAAAAAAAAATGATAAGTTAATTAATTAAATCAACAACAACAACAACAAAAAGGATGCTAATGATGAAATGACAGTTTTTTTAATTAGGAAACAAAAAACATATGCAAAATATGTAAAACCTTGTTCATCACAGTTAATTCTGACAGCCGTCAAAGAACTTTTATCCGTATCGCTTGACATGTCGATGACATTTAACTTTTCAGATAGCAAAAACACAGACAGACAAACAAACAAAAATAACGATAATAAAGATGTTTAGAGAAAAAAACACAGAAAATGATGATGATGACGTTATCTTGTTTTATATGAATTATGAATTCTTCTCGTTTGTTTAGTTCGTTTCGGTTGTTTATTTTAATTATAGAATCAAGAATCAAAAGAGAGACGACAATGAAAAACAAATAAAAATATGGAAAAAACTCCCACGTGTGTGCGACGAGTGTTAATGAAAACTGATCAGCAAGAAAAACAATGGATGGATGGATCACTATGGATGGATCTATTGATCGATAACAAACTTTTTATATAGGAAAAAGTTTTCCAGAAAAGCAAAAGAAAGCAATTATGATTGTTGTTGATTGCATCCAATGATGTCATGGATCTATCCCTCTCTCTTAATTTAGTTAGATGGATTGAATGGATGAAATCATCATTTTTGGTTATCAAAAGAGTGACTAATAATAAAAAGTTAGTTTTTAATCACAAGTTTTATCGATGATGACGACGATTATGCTGTTGATGATGATTGGTGGTAATGTTGTTGAGGATTTTTGGATGTTGTCAATGATGGTTGATGATTGTTTTTTGTAGGTCATTTTTTTTCGGTTGGGTTGGTTCGTCCCCCAAAAACGATAATAACAAGTGTTAATAATGATGATGGAAAGATGCCCATACAGAAAACACTGAATGTGCTCAAAAACTGGTCAACAAGAATATTCTTCTATATGTGTGTTTGGAACGCAAGTAGAATATATCGCTATATAATCCATAATAACATCACCAAGAAACCAGAGAAAGGATGACTAAGAAATGCGACAATTTTTTGGAGATAAGCACATCATCATCAAGAACAACAAAACAAAACATATATAGAGAAAAGGATTTTTTTGCTATATGGCGCGTTTGATTGGCGTTAGTCGATTTGAAAAGCGAAAAAAAACTAGACAAAATTTTTCGTCTGATAATTCCCAAATAATCAAAGAATCTTAATCTAACTGAAAATTCTAATTAAATTAATGGAAAATGATCTGAACACAGAGAACATTGAAAAACAAGAAAGCAGTGATAAGCACAAACTATGGTAATAAGAAACAAGAAAACTTGGAAAGAATTTAAATTTAGAATAGAATTTCAGAATAATTTCCTTTCCTTGTATTTGATGTTTGCTTTTTTGTTTTGTTTTGATTGAAATTAGAATTTATTCATTCATTTCAAAATGAAATGAATGTTAAAAAGATGCAATCACACGAAGGAACAAACGATACGATAAAGAGACAACAACATTGAAACAAGAGTAAATAATGCTTCGTCAATCGTTTTTTCTAGCTATCTTTTTTTCTGATTCGGGTATTTTCTGTTTGTCTGTTTCGGGTGTTTCGTCTTCAGTGGAATACAATCAGAATTTTTTGTCCGTTTTTTTACCATCGGTTTGAATCGAGAAAAACATAAACACTTTTGATAAAGAATTTATTACATCTTTGCCATTAAAGACAACAGAATCCTCAACAAACAAACAATCATCATCTAATCTGAATTTGATTCAGATTTCACACTTGATGATTAAAAGTTTAGGTTAAAGATTTTTTGATGATTCAGCAGCTCATATAAGATTTGAATGTCTGTTCGCGTGTTCGTTTCATTTTGAAATTCAGAAATTTTTCAATTTCAATATTTAATTTCAATGTTTACGGATTTTTAGCGATGACAGACAGATTTTGTTTAGAATAAAATAATAAAAACAATGACATTTCTGTTTTCTTCATCTCTCTCTCTCTCTCTCTCTCTCTTTCCCCTCGAAAGTGTTAAATTTTCAAAACAAAAAATCAAGAATCAAGAATTCCAAATGAAAAAAAAAACATTGTATTTAACGTCAATCAATCAACAACAACAACACAGAATCATCCACGCTTTGATTCTGTTTGAATTTTGTTTGAAATTTGATTCTTTCAATACAGAATTTCAAAACAGAATTTTTCTTTTTTCTTTAAAAAGTTTAAAAAAAAACAGCAAAAAGTTTTTGGCTTACAACTTGATAATAGATAACCAGTACTTGCAACAGTACTTGTTTTTTTTGATGATGAATTTGCTGAATAACAATCATCAGCTCTTAATGTAGCTGATGTTATTTGTTGTTGTTGTTGTTGAAAATTATAATCATCATCATTCGATGATGATGATAACATTTGTATCGATGTTGATTGTTGTTGTTGTTGTTGTTGTCTGGATGAAATCGGTGGTCGAATTATTTCCAATAATTCATTATCATTATTCATTGATGAATCAGGAATTGATTGTTGTTGTTGAAATTGTTGTTGTTGTTGTTTTTCATCAATCGAATCACTATTGGGAAAATTTTCCATTTTTAAATTGAATTCAAAAGTCAAAAAATCACGAAAAATCAAAAGTCAAAAGTCAAAATTCACGAAAAATCAAAAGTCAAAAATCACAAAAATGAATGGCGAAAATGGATGATGCAAAATTCTTTTCAGTTAGTCAGTCTGTCAAGATTATAGCCAAGTTATAAATGATACAGGAGATCGAGGAAACAGCCATCATAAACCACAAACCATCATTATCATTATCAAACGTTGTTGATCAAAGAAAAAAAAATTTAAAAATTTTTAACTCCCAGTTTTTTTTCTCCAGTAAAACAAAAACAATTTTTTCATTCATTCACTCTACGATTAATGATTTTGTCTTGTTATCGTTACCACCACCAGAATATTCTCCAAATAAAAAAAACTATCAGAATTACCGACCGACCGACGACCATTATTCATTCATTCATTCAAATAGCGAATGAATGAATGAATGAATGGAGAAAAGAATAACAACAACAACAACAACCAGAATATAAAGAATATCATATGGTTGTTGTTGTTGTTCGTTTGTTGATTTTATTTAGAAATTTTCTTTTTCTTGGATTCCTGGGTAACCACCGTTACCACCACCACCACCACCCTCATCATTTTTTTTACATAAAAAAAAAAATTATCAAACTTCAAAAATCATCAAAATCATCATCATTATCATCATCGGGGTTGTCGTTTCATTCAAAAATATATTTTTTTTGTCATGTGCACACCACATAATGATTACATAATGATGGTTACATGATGTCGTTGTCGTTGTCAATGGTGTGTGTCCAAAAAAAAAGAAAAAGTCACTGCCATCATCAATGAAATGAAATTTGAATCCATCCAACGAAGCGAATGAGAAGAATGGAGAAGAATATTCTGATGTGATCATCATCATTATCTTTATCTCGAATGCGGGAAACAAAAACCGCATTTAAAAATAGCAAAAAAGGAGAAAAAACAAACAAGAATTGTCTTTTGGTGGCGGCCATCATTTTAAGAATTTTTTATTCTTTCATTTGACAGAATTTTATTGATTTTGTTTTTCGCCGGAATCTTTCACCACTACTTGCTATACAGTAGTGTATCGATTTTATCAGATAATCAAAATGCAGGGGAAAAAAACATTGATTTTTTTCTGGAAAAGTAAACGAAAATGAAAGTAACATACTTGTAATTAATTCTTCTAAATGTTGATTTACAATCGGTGGTCGTATCAGCTCTACGGGTAATGGTGGTGTTGGTCGTTTTTGTAATGATTTACGATTTATAATTCCTGATTGTTGTTGTTGTTGTTGAATAATTGGTGTTGATGGTAGATTATATCCAGTTTTCAGTATTGTTGATTGTTGTGAATGGCTACGAATTGATTGTTGTCGTTGTTGTTGTAAGGATTGTTGATCATTATCGATTACTATTTCAACATCATCATTAATGGTCAACGGTTGTTGCTGCGGATCGAATGATTCCATTTTTTTTTGCAGAATTTTCGATCAACAGAATGAGAATTATGTCGACGATATGAATTCACGAATCAAAATGATGATGATTCTTTTCGATTCTTTCGGTTCAAAATTCATATTTTGCGAAAAGATTTTTATTAAAAATAAATTTTTTTGTTTATAAATTCTTGTTTACAAATTTCAATAAATCATATTCATCATCATCATCATCGAATCAAGAAAACAAAACAAAACAAAACAAAAAGAAACGAAGATGATACAATGAATGGAAAAAAAAATTGAAATTCTTTAACAGAATTTTTTTTAAACAAAATGTGATCGAAATCCGAAAAAAAAATCAAATCAAAATGAATATTCTTTATTCGGAAAAATTTATTTCTTGTTTCGAATCGGTAATCAAACAGATTCAAACCATCATGATCATCATCATGATGATGGTGTTGAAGCTTGTAGTTTCCAATCCTCTAAGATTTACCATAAGGTTTTTTTCTCTTAAAAAAAAGTTTTATAAAATTTCCAATTTCTCCACACACACACACACACACACACACAGATGTTTATATTAAAGAAAAAAAAACCCGGTGTTAAGAATGATATGAGTGTTGAAAACCATGGTAAGTGAAGAAGAATAAGAAGAAGAATGATTTACGTTCATCGAAAATAACAACCATTTTTTCTAGTTTTGTTTATATCCAAAATCAACAACAAAATTTACATTAAACAAATTTTGATACAAGAACAACGAAAAAAACAAAAGCGATGATAATTCAAATCCAAATGCAATTATCGATGTTATGACCTTAATAAATCAGATCTTTAAATAAATTTTTGTTTTTAATCCATTAACCGGGAAAACATTTTCTTGTTTCATTAATTCATTGTTTCCATTGTATTAATCGATCGATTTGATTGTATCCAAATTGGTATCGGTCCAAATGATCTCGCTTTTTCCACATTCTTCACTTTATTCATTCATTGAATGTTGCCAAAAATATTTTGAAATTTTTCTAAATCTAAAATACCACCAAATTTTAAACATATGTATAGTGCGGATGATTGTTTTGATTTTAAATCATCTGGATGATCAACATCATCGGTTAATTGTGAAACATTCAGAATAAAATCATTCAAATTTGTATTACAATCGGATAATTTTAATAAATTATCCATCGATAGAATTCGTTCAGCACGATTACCAAAAAACGTTAGATGTGATATACGAACAAGATTCTTATTTTTATCTGCAGATATATAGATGGAGCCAATTAAACGACGAAATATTTGTCCAAAACCATAGATTAATATTAGCGAAAATGTTGATATTCCACCAATCATGGCTAGATCGTTTGATTCATATGAAGCTGGATTTGAAGAAGAAGGGTCAAAGGGTTAAAAGTGTTAATCATTTGACTTGATTTTTTTACCTGCATTAATAAAATAACTAGCCGGCAATATTGTTGTCATCATTATTGTCATATGAAGTTTTGCACGTGCAAATATTCTACATGGTACTATATATGGAAATTTATATATTGGTATCCATTCACCTAGATCATCGGCTGGCATTCGGTTTTTTTTCATTAATTGATTTTTCCTTGATAAACTTGCATTATTATTATTAATCGATGTTGAATGAAATGTTGTTGTTGTGGAAGCCGATAATATCGACTGATATCGACGAAATAATACTGGCGGTTGACATGTTAATCGGATAATCTTACGAAAAGAAGGATAATTTTCAAATGAAAAACTTGTTTTAAAATCAAAAAAAAAACTTACCTTATTCATCGGTTTTTCGTTTTTTGTTTTTCTTCTAAATTCTGTTATTGAATTTTTTTATTTACAAAAAAAAAAAAATAATAACATGTGTGCGATTTGTTGATTTTATACATTGAAAGTTGTGCACAGAATTTTTTTTTTCAAAAAATAATATTATTTACAACGTATAAACATAATATCAATTCTTTGATTCTTTAAACGTTTTTTTTTATCATTAAAAATTCTCTTCTCTTCTTGACAATCTATCATTGTTATTGAAAGAAACAACAAACGAAAAGAAAATTCATAATAATGATGATGGATCATCGCAAATCTCGAATCACAAAGGTTAAATTTTCAATTTTCATTTCTAAATTTAATCCATAACGATTCTTCTTCTTCTTCTTGATTCTTGATTTCGCCTCCCGCTAACACACCAGCAGATGAAAATCTGAATGTTCTAGTTTTTTCTATCAGCAACATTACCATTATTGCCATTCAGCCGACAAAAATGAAAAAATAATAATTTTTTCATATTGTCATTTTTACATATTTTATGCTATTTTTTGAATATCATCATCAACATTGAAATCAAAACAAAACATCCAAACTACAGAAGTGTTAAAGAAGAAGAAAAACAAAAACTGAAGGAATCTATTCTTCAGTTTCTTCTTCTTCATCATCGTTATTTTTCAGTCTAATATTAGGTTTTTTTGTATCAAACAAGCCATGGAAAATTTATGGTGTGAAGATGAAAATGTGCGATGATCTGGCTTGCCTGGTTGTTTGATATTTATATCCACCAAACATCAATTCCTTTCTCTCTTTCTCTACATGATTGTTATGAATATCTTCTCCTTCTTTCTCTATAGAATTGATGTAATTAGTCGTTTTTTGTTTTCCTAATAATTTTTCATTTTTTTCTTCTTTACTTCATTAAGAAATCTAATTAGGATTAGTATCATCCATATTCCATTCATCCGGGCTGAAAGTCGGTCAAATCAAATGGTTTTCTTTTCTGCATATTCTTCTCATCGCTATCATTCTACCATCCATGTTTTCATTGATCATTCAAATTGATCATCATTCGAAAAATATTCAGTTTCAGTTTCATAAACGTTTGTTACTGTTATTGTTTTGATTTTAATTTGATGTTGTTAATTTGATTGTGTTTTTACAAAAACAATTTTTAATTTGTTTTGATTTGTGTTTTTTGGCAAAAACTTTTTCCCAACTAAATCAAAACAAACAAAAACGAAAACAATTCTTCCGAGAGAGACGAGACAGGAAAAAAAAGGAGAAATTCTCAAACAGAATATCGATCAACAATCAATAAACTTTTTGATTTGTTTTTTGCAACCAAAAAAAAATAATTTTGTGTATTTCATTTAACACCTACGCACACACACACACTTCAGATTATTTTCGATTTTTGTCATAATGTTTTTTGGTTGTTGTTGTTGTTGTTGTTTGCATTATCACATTCGAAAAGAAAAATGTCTTCAGATTTATATCGTGATTATTCAAATGAAATACTCAAACGACCATTACCAANTGGTCGTTTTTGTAATGATTTACGATTTATAATTCCTGATTGTTGTTGTTGTTGTTGAATAATCGGTGTTGATGGTAGATTATAACCAGTTTTCAGTATTGTTGATTGTTGTGAATGGCTACGAATTGATTGTTGTCGTTGTTGTTGTTGTTGTAGGGATTGTTGATCATTGTCGATTACTATTTCAACATCATCATTGATGGTCAATGGTTGCTGCTGCGGATCGAATGAATCCATTTTTTTGCAGAATTTTCGATCAACAGAATAAGGATTATGTCGACGATATGGATTCTCGAATTAAAATGATGATTTTGATTTCGATTCTTTTTGATTCAAAATTCATATTTTTGCAAAAAAGATTTTTCTAAAAATGAATTTTTTGTTTATAAATTTCAATAAATCATAAATTCATCATCATCGAATCAAGCAAAAATATCATTCGTTGTTGATTCCACGAAAACAAATCGATGGAAAGAGAAAAAAACCGTTTTATTTGGCTAAATAAAACAACAGAATTTTTCAACAAACGATTGATATAAAATGGAAAAAATTTGGATAGCAAAATTTATTTCTTGTTTCGATTCAAACATCATCGAGATGGTGATGTGAAGCATGGAGCGAATCAATGGAAACAAAAAAAAATCATCCAAATTCAAGGATTTTACCATAAGGTTTTCTGTTTCTTGTTCTTTTCCCTTCATTTAAATTTAAATGTTTATATTAAAAACACATCGGTGTTGAAAAAGAAAGTGAAGAAAGATTTATCGAACAACAGCGATTTTATTTTTTTCGGTTTTGTTTATATCTACACATGTGTTTTATACATAAATTGATACAAAAAAAAAAACGACGACGACGATAATTCAAATTTGCTTTTTGCCTAAATGACCTTAATAAATCAGATCTTTAAATAAATTTTTGTTTTTAATCCATTAACCGGGGAAACATTTTTCCATTAATTCCATTGTCTTAATCGATTGCGATCGATTGATTGTATCCAAATTGGTATCGGTCCAAGTGATCTTCCTTTTTCCACATTTTTCACTTTATTCATTGAATGTTGCCAAAAATATTTTGAAATTTTTCTATATCTAAAATACCACCAAATTTTAAACAAATGTATAGTGCGGATGATTGTTTTGATTTCAAATCATCTGGATTAACCGAATCATCGGTTAATTGTGAAACATTCAGAATAAAATCATTCAAATTTGTATTACAATCGGATAATTTTAATAAATTATCCATCGATA